CGTCGGTGCATTACGTGGGCGGAATTGAGCTTGCGCAGAGTATTTACTGATATCTATTTCTCCGGGTTCCGTGTGACTGTACGTAAACACGTGTGCATTTGTGTCTACGACTCAATATGAGCATATTTCGTATATATTACGTGTGCATGTGTGTACATGTTTTTTTTTTTTTTTGTTTTCTTTTTTGTGTGCATTTGTGTCTACGACTCAATATGAGCATATTTCGTATATATTACGTGTGCATGTGTGTACATGTTTGTTTTTTTTTTTGTTTTTTTTTTTTGCATGTGTGTGCATGTGTATATATGTGTGTGTGTGTGTGCATGTATATGTGTGTACGTGTGGATGTGTCTGGATATGTGTGTGTGTGTGTGTACCCACATTGACATGTTGGATGTTTTTAATATTGTGTTTTTTATATTATGTTTTTTATATATTGTGTACATGTGGTATATGTGTGTTGTATGTGTAAACGTGCAGATGTGGACGTGTGTGAATATTTGTATATGCGTATATGATGTGTATTCTTGTATATTCGTATATGCGTACATGTGTATATTTGCATGAAGTGTATGTAGTCCTTGTCAAATTATTATTTGTCCACCAAATATTTGAGAAAATGTTAGATCATTTATTAAATTGACTGTTTTCTTCTAAATGATTTCGTTCTTACACTAAAAAAATGATTTTGATAACTATTTGCACAAGAAGTAAATAGTTGAAATCTAGGCTACCAGCCAGGCCGCCCTGGTCACCTTATTTTCCCGGACGGCCTGGCCGTGCAAGGACCAAGGAAGGTCCTAGCAACAAAAACAACAGCAACAACAAAAAAAACGATGTTATGCAGAAAAAAAAACTGAACAACTTTTGCCTCAGGGTCACATCGAAATTCTGTACCAAATTAAAAATAAAATAATAAATAATTATAAATAAATTAAAAATATATACTTGTACGCAAGAGGTTCTGAACAGGGGGAGTTGTAAGGAAGAAGATAAAAAATGAATTGATATCTTTTCTGTTTTTCTTTGTTTTTTTCGCTTTTGCGCTCTGATATTTATGTGACGATATGTATATATATATTTAATTTGGCCCGGCCGGGCAAGTGACCCCGGGCCACTCTGGTAGCCTAGGTTGAAATGTATTTTGTAAGAAATACGTGGGTCTATGTGGCGATACATGTTTATATATCGCCTAAGTCGAGAGTGTTCTTTTTCTAAGTGCCAAGGAACTTATGTAAGAGAGAGGTTTTGTTTGGTATATATAAATTTAAGAAGAGCTGCCCCGTAGGCCATAGGGGCATATAGATATTTTGGCTGTGCGCAAGTGGGTCGATATGACACACGGGGGTGGGGGCAACCGCAGCTCAACCTACATCCACGTGGGCGGCCTTGTACGCAAGAGGTTCTTTCTGAACAGGGGGAGTCTTGTAAGGAAGAAGATAAAAAATGAATTTATTTTTTTTGTTGTTTTCGCTTTTGCGCGCTGACATCTTTGTGACGATATTATATATATCGTCACAAACAGAACTGCCC